TAATTGCAGAGAAAAAAAAACATATAAAAAAATAAACACAAAAAGTGCCTTGTCCTACTTTGAAACTTTATTATCTGTGTCAGAAAGACAGAGCATGTGCTGCTTCTTATGCTGTGTCAGATTAACTGAAAATGAAGAAAAAGTGGGAGAAAAGCACAGCGAGAGGAGAGGAGGTAAAAGAATGAGGCCATAAATAAATCAAAGGCTTCTTGTGTCTTTAAAGCCATGTCAGGAACAGCTACATCTACATGTGTGTTGAAAGTAAAGCAACAGAAACATTATACCAACCAGGTAAATTGTTTATTAGATTAGGATGCACTAAATCATCAATCAGCTGATTTTAAACCTGGACAGACACTTTTTTTTTTTTTTTTTTAAATTATAGTCAGTGAACACATCATAGCTGATGGTATTTTGTCAGGGGGCTGCAATGGTTGGAGATGGAAAATTAACTAATTTTCTAATGCAGTCCTGCTGAAATGACCAAGCAACCAGCAAGCTATTTGGCCACATTTTAAACAAACAATTATTTGAAAATAATAGACTATTTTTCTGCTTAACAGCCTACAAAACTACTCTCTGAGGCTGCTTTTTTGTTAACCACCTCCACCCACAATGTACCTGTCTTAGCTCTCTTCAAGCTTCCTTTGGCAGCCATCCCCACAATTACGATGTATTTCCCTGTAGTAAAGTTTTGAACTCAAGAAAAGCAGATTTGGAAAAGTTTTACAAAAATTATTAATTCTCATCAATGTGGTTTTGAGTGTTTTCTGTCAGAGAAGAGCTCCCATTCAGGTGTAAAAACACTCTAAACAGGGAAGGGTTTGAGATGCCTGCAACAACTCTGTTTTGTGAGAAAATTTGTCATGTTTTTTTTTTTTTACATGTTCAAAAATTGCATGAGTTTCTGTGACTCACATGAGGAAACTGGGAATCCTTGTGAACGTTTCAAGAGATTTTGGGGACTCTTGCAAATGCTGCTCAGATATTTACAGAGTGAAGAAAGCTCCAAGTCTCAAAGTTAGCTTTATGCAATACCTTTAAAATGTACCATATTTTTTCACCAATAAGTTGTGGGTTTTTTTGCATAATTTGCATGCCCTGCAACTTACATGCTGAAGCGACGTATTTATGGATTTTTCCCATATTTATAAACCAATCTTGGCTGAGATATGACCGTTTTCATTTCATTCTGACTGAAAATACTGAACACTACCATATTTCAGCTGCTAGATGGTAGCAGAGTAGAATGGCATGGCGTTGTATCATGTAATAGGTAAAAGTGGCTATTAACGACACAATCGGCTTGCCACAGCCTCCCACCTTTGTACAGCTCGCCTGGAGCAACCGTCAAATCAGCTTCATTTCGTTGCGCCGCCCCAACGAAATGCAGCTAATTTGACCATTAAAGTGCATTTATTAAGTAAAAGTTCAACTGAGACACATCTTTGCTATAATGCCAAGCAAACAAATAATTGTTTTTGAGTGTTAATCTTGTTAAATTCTTGTTAAAGTCAACTCTGCAGCCGCCATTTGGCAGCCAATCGATTTTTGGCACAAAACCGGCCCATATTTCCAGGTTGTCAGCGGTGACACATAATATACGGCAAAGCGATGTATTTGTAGATTTTTCCACTTTATTAGAAATATTTGGACTGATGCGACTTATAGGGTGGAGCAACGTTCATGGCAGAAACTACGGTAGAAAGATATTTGTACTGTAGTGTTCAAGTGACAGCTAGATAAAACTGATGTGGTGCTATAGTTCTTTAAAAAAAAGCTTGAAATCGTTTAAATCAGGCTACAATCGGACATCTGAATCAGCCAATTCAAAGAAAAAACTCTTATTGGTGCATTTCTAGCAGAGATGCACATATATCAGCCAGTGGGCCTCTGCAGAGTCATGGTGCCACTTACACAGGTCAGTGTTTCCAACATACCTTTGCTTTCTCTGAATTTATTTGAATTTCATTTATTTTTTAAACAGACAAAAGCTCTCTCCAAAACAGCAAAACAAGAGCCATTCATCTGAAGTGAGGACGAGCAGGCGTGACACAGACTTGTCTCTATAATTATTGTGTCTGCTTGAACTGACTCTCCCGGACAGACGCAGTGATTTTAATACTACAAAAAGAATGTGACTGCCTTAGTTTGGAGACATGAAAAGAAACACAAAAGGAGCACACAAAAAAAGCACAGCCATAAATAAATACTTGCATAATGGTAATTTACCTACATGACTGCACACATCCAGTGCTAATTAGAGCTAATTAAAGCGCTCTGTTTAAAAACGTGTAAATGGAGATTCTACTGCACTCTTTCCAGAGTACTGACTCGAATGCTTCATATGAAACTAAATGTACTGTTGGTCCTGACTAAATGATACTGGCATAACTAGATCATAACAAAATGAAGAGTATGTTCCAGCCGTTTCAACACACAAACACGTCAACCAACACCCTGAGCTAAACGCACATTGTCAAGCTCAATAAAAATCACCTCTCCAAGCTGTGTGCCACCTTTGCACATTCCTGCTGGAAACTATCATTTCAGTACCTTCCATGACGCCTGGGCATGATGGAGCTACTGCGCATCAATATCCACATGCCAGCCACAGCAACATAATATACCATTACATACCATGAAATGAAAGAAAATGAGGTGGAGTATGCATTTATACTTGGGTACTTGATTTGATGTTCCAGGCTGTGGAGGATAATTGCAAAAGGAAAGAATGGGAGCGATTTACGAAACGAAGCAAATTACAAGGCGACATCTACGGAAATCTGTCACATAATCTCTTGTGTCACCACGAGATTACAAACATACTGAACCTAAATCCTGCACTAGGGCTGTAAAAAATATTTGAAATACAACTAAACAAATTTGGCTTCTTTTTTTTTTAAAGGATTTAAGTGAGGCAAAATCTATGATCAAACACCAACAGCAGCTTCAGAACTCAACTTCAGCACACTTTATTTGCTGGTTTTAAGTGACATATACAGAACCTAACTTCCAAGTCTGCACCCAAGTCAAGTCTTGACATCAAGAAAAAAAAACATAAAAAGTATAACAAATCTCAATCCCAACCTCTAAACCTCTTTATTTCCATCTGTTGGGCTCAGTTAACCTTAGGCCTGTCATGATAACAAATTTTGCTGGGCAATTAATTGTCTCTGAAAATATTTTGATAAACGATAGTATTGTTTGAAATTTTACAATATATGGTAATTGTCAAATGTTAGAAGAAATGTTTGTTAATTTTTGTGTGTAGTATCTTTTATGATCGCTGGATGGCAGAATAAGACAGTTTGAGCAAAAAGATGGATAGTGAGGAAACGAGCAGCATGTCTCTAAGAAAAATGGGAAGGAGGCCCCTTGACGTGACATGGGCTGTCTCTCCTTACTTTTTTCGGTTCTCAAAATGGCAGATGCTCTGTGTGGTTTGAGCTCTTTAGCATAGCATTTGTCAAACAAAGATTTTAATTTAAAAAATCAGTAAACAAGTTCTCAGCTTCTTTTTCCAGAGAAAAACAACTTTTTACACAAAGGCACAAGTTTTAACCGTGAATTTTGGAGCTTCGACAAGACGGAGGTTTTTTTCCCCCCAAGGTCGGCCTGTTAGCTTAGCTTGTAGCTTAGCTTCTCAGCTTAGCTGCTTTTAACGATCCAAAAATGTGATTTTGGATCATTAAAACAGATTTTAAAGTGTAAGGGAAGGGTCAGTGAAGAGCACTGGAGTTGAACCTTTTGTCATTCAGTGTCTTCAGTAGAAAGAGACAGACACGAAGAAACGATACAGCCGATAAATGAAAATGAGGTTGATCATTTTAATTTATCGTGCGATTAATTGATTTATTGTTTATTGCGACAGGCCTAGTTAACCTTATCTCATTTAAGCACATATTTAATCCAACTTTGCTAGAAAACCAAGAATATTTCCTAAGATACTACTTGGTGAGTCTTGCTACCAGAGTTTCAATGATAACAGCCTCAGAGGGAGTGTAATTCTATCAGCCTCGTCATTTTTTAGTGAATTTCAGTTAAAGCCTCACATTTGTCATTTCCTGACTACTTTCCACCACTCGTACGTTTAATATGGAAGCGGCAGTCAGAACGATAAAGGCCTAGAGCAAAAAAAAAAAAAAAAAGTAATTAAAGTAACTAAACACTGAACCGTGGCGAAGCAGTCGACTCGCAATGTTAACGTTCATCATCTGTGGTTTAACATCTGTCTCTGCTTCATTAACCCAGATTCTATTCCTGACTCCCATCCGTCAAGTCTCAACCACATCCAGTGATGAAACAAAACGAGGATAAAGACAGACTGCGAGCGACAACCAATTCAGAAACACTCTGTTGGTGGGACATTATCGCAAGTTTTTGACGAAGCCTAAAATAAAACTCGGTGGTTTATTGAACACGTTTACCACAAAAAACTATGTTATGGATGGTTGTGGACAATGTCATGGGCATATGAAAACAAAAGCTTGCTACAACTAAAAATATGTGCAACCATAAATACAAATATTAAGGGCCATTTTCCATTAGACTTTGAGCTATTTTGAAATTAAGAGGTTAAATGGTAGTTTTATTTTCTGTTCTGAAAGATTTGTTCCTTTTATTATCCGCTGAAAGACTTGGATAAAAAAATAATAATAATAAAACTGTGGGATTACGCTGTTACACAAAGTATAAGATGTGTGTCAGATGATCCCAAAGGGAAGGTCTGAGTAAATGACAAACGAGTCAGAGGAGGAGAAAACACACCCAGACTGATTACCTAAGCTGCACAGGACAAGGAGATCAATGAGCCACAAGCCCTTTGAACGCCCTTTTATCCACGCACCTTTAACTAACGGCGTGCACAGAGATGCACACACACTGCAGCTTCGGTTCAGCTAGCGACGGATATGAAGGATGACACTGAGATAATAGGTAAGCACCTGTGCATGCATTCCACACACAGACATGGTATGTCTGCCACTTTCCAGCCCTACCTCCAGTTGTTTTCTCAGCTCCTTCATATGGGCGGAGTCTTGAGACAGATTTTCCTTTTGAGAGGCGTCAGACAGGACAGTGACTGTCGTCTCTGCCTCCTGGAGCCATCTGAGGAAAGACTCCAGCTCCCTGAGAGACACCTGGACTCCCTTCAGCTCACCATCCAGCTGGTTGCGACGATCATTCACCCTGCAAACATGAGCATGTCAAACGTGTTAGAAAACAGTGGCAGACTGTAGTTTTGAGAACAGGCAGGTGAGTTTGTACGCACCTGCAGTTGATGCTGTTCCAGGCAGCAATGTGCGTCTCTGTGACCTCTTTGATCCTCCTGGTGTCATCTGAAGAATATTCTCGTAAAAGGTGATTGGACAGCTCAGTGAAGGCTGTAACCGTGACCTGGTCTCGACCCAGAGTTTGGAAAACCTCCTGTAAAGCAAACAGTGCTGTGACATCGGACCAATGAGGCTAAAAATATCTCAGATGTGAATCAGTGTGAGCATTATGAGTCACTCTGAAGGAAGTTCATGTGTTTATCAGTTCCAATTTGTTACTTTTTGCTATTTATTTTCTTCATTTTTTTGCAATAATAGTTTTTAGATTTGCATGCAAAGATAATAAAGAGCATTTCTCTCCTCAATGAGAGTGGACAACCCCTTCTATAAATTAAAATGCCTCCAAATGCCTTAACTGCCTTGTTTAGGTCGTTTCCTACTTCACTTGCTCTCTGTCCGGCTAAAAAGGACTTAACAGCAATCACAACTTTGTTGGCCTGGAGGCTAATACTTATAAACAGGAAATATGCAGCTCCTCCGTTTATACAAGCTGGATTAGAGGTCGTAATTTTCTTAAAATAATAATAGTAGGTCAGCTAGTCAGTAATTAAGTAAGTACAGTACATTAAACAAGCAAACCAATAGACCTGTCATGATAATGCATTTTGCTGGGAGATTAATTGTCTCAGAAATTATTGTGCTAAACGCTAAAATTGTTTGAAATTTAACAATAATTAGTAAGTATGGACTGGACTGGAGGTCCCACAGTCAAAATGGGAGAAGCAACCAAGGGTGATGGAGAATGGTAAGGCTAAGATACTGTGGGACTTCCAGATGCAGACAAACAGGTGATGGTTAAGCAACCGGACATTGTTGACAAGCTAAAGAAGGCAGTGGTGATAGACGGAGAAATCCCAAGTGACTGCAACAACAGAAAGAAGAAGCATGAGAAGCTGGAGAAACACAAAGGACTGAAAGAGGAAATACAGAAGTTCTGGAGTCAAAGCATCAGTAGTCCCAGTGGTCATTGGAGAACTTGGTGCTGTGACCCCCAAACTGGAAGAGTGGCTCCAACAGATCCCAGAAGTCCGAGGAACATCTAAGATACTGAACAGAACCCTCAAACTCCCAGACCTCTGGTGGAAAACCCAAGTTTGAAGTGAAGTGGAACTGCCCAAGTAGAAAAAAAATGAAGAGTTGGGTGATTTTTTTTTTTATGAGTGTGTAAGGCTTTTTATTTATTTTGTTTTCCCCGTCTATTTACTCATTTTCTTGCTCTATCTTGACAGGTATTCTGTGATTTACTGACTACTGCACTCACTGGCTCTCCTTGTCTTTTGTTCACCCTTTATGCTAATGGGGTGAGTGTCAGGTGGCTGTGGTGGAGGGGTCATTCATATAATTTTAACTGGTGACAGACAAGGGGGCGGCACAGTGGTACAGTTGGTAGAGCTGTTGCCTCTTAGCGAGAAGGTGACCGAATCAAAACCTGGCCAGGGACCTTTCTGGGTGGAGTTTGCATGTTCTCTCCGTGCATGCGTGGGTTTTCTCCAGGTACTCTGGTTTCCTCCCACAGACCAAAAACATGCATGTTAGGCTGATTGGTAACTCTAAATTGTCCCTAGACGAGTGAGAAAGTGAATGGTTGTTTGTCTCTATGTGTCCCTGTGATGGACTTGCGACCTGCCCAGGGTGTCCCCTGCGTCTCACACAGTGATAGCTGGATATGGGCACCAGCGACACCCGCGACCCGAAAAGGAAGAAGAGGAAGATGATGGATGGACGGACGGATGGACAGACAAACATAAAAGGGCAGGGGGTCATTTGTAACAATCACTGATTGTAAAAAAAATGAGGCCAGTTCTTGACGTTTAACACTAAATACCTACCAAACAAACAGACATTTGTTATTCTACTGCTCAGCTTCCTAATTCTGTTTAAACCCAACCTAATCAAGAAGGTTAAATAGAAACTAAATCTTTATTATTATAAACTTTGAAATGGGAAATGACTTGTAAAATTATCGTCGCAGAACTTCCATCTTTAAATAAAATGTAAGCTTCTCAGTTTAAATAGACACTTATTCTCCAGGATAAAATCAGGAGATCTCTGTGTGTGTGTGTGGGCGTGCGTGAGTTCTTGTAGCATCTTGGATGTGTTAAACTCAGTTGCCCTCTAGTGTTTGGCAGCAGTAACATCTTAAACAGATTTAAGAGACAGAATTAGTTTCCTGACACTCAATTAATCTAATGTGGGATGATATGGGTAAATGAACATCTCTAAGGTTCAAAGTGAAACCTCAGAGGAGTGATTTATTCATTCCTAACTTGTGCAAACTTAGACGGCTGTTCTAAAGACCTCTGATAAACTGAAGCCAAGTTTGGATTTTTGTTCCCATTAGGAAATATTCATTGGAGTACATGTCATGTCTACCATACAAGGACACAAAATCACAACAAATGACCTCAGGTACAAGAAGCTGCAGACACAGTGGGGTAAAAAGTCAAAATTAATCTGCCCTAACCTTGCAGTCTTCAAGCTGCTTTGTCAGGGGATCGCTAGGATGCTGCAGCAGGTTGTGGAGATGTCCTTCGTTGTTTGCAATAAGGGCCTTCACCTCCTTCCTCTTCTCCTCCCACTGGTCGCTGTGGACAATCATATTATCCAGCTGCTGGAGTCGAGCTTCAACACCGTGCTGAGTGCTGTCCCACTGGCTGCGTACTTTCTCCACTACAGGAAGAAAAGACACCTTAATAACCAAAAGTGGTTTATTTTTAGACACTCTTTTCTATTGTAAGAGGAAATAAAAGCTAAATATAGTCTTCCAACTTTGAATTTACATTTCTCAGTGATGGATGTGCGGACGTCAAGGTTAGAGGTTTTGTTTTTAATGTTCTGTGCCAAGGTGAAAATGTCCTCCAGCTGAGAATGACGCTGCTCCAGGTCAGTCTTTGTCACCTGCAACAACAACAACAAAATAAAAGCATTAAAGCGGAGCTGGCTTCAGATAATGGATTCAATATAAAAATCACCAGATCTGATAAATAATTTAACTCATTAATGACATAATGGTGTCCTTTACACACAGGAAACAGAAAATAAACACACTGCATCACGTCTTAATGGGTTAATATTTGCAGTGTTTAGCAAAACAGATTACAGTGGTCCCTCATGTATCGCGGGGGATCCGTACACTGAAGACCCGCGATAAGTGAAAAACTGTGAAGTAGAAATAGTAGTACAAGTAGTAAGTAGTAGTTTATTTTAGTATTTAAAAATATTAATATTAATTAATTAATATTCACAATTTAAAATATATATATACTGTATATATATGCATTTTAAACCCATCCCACATTCTTGCAATATTCTAAACAATGTTTCTAAACTCTAAACGCTCTAAAAGAGCACAGAATGTCATGATTTCAGCTCCCTGCCTCCGTTGCTCTCTGCCACCTGCAAGTGCTCTTGGCCACGCCCATTTCTATGCTCTGCACAGAGAACAGCTGATCAGCTGCAGCAGGAAGTTTATCCTGCAGCAGTAAGGGCTGCACAGAGCTGCAGGAGGAAGCTTTTTCTGCATCTCTGGGCTACACAAATGTGCAGCAGGTGCTAAATAATTTAAAATAATTCATTTAAAATAAAAGTGCAATGCTGATCATGCGGCTCATCCATCAATCAGCCAATTGTGTGTCATGTCCACTCGTATTTTGAAAAACCGCAATAGTGAAAGTCCGCGATAAACGAACCCTGAAGTAGCGAGGGACTACTGCACAGCGTACGGCACAGCGTACGGCACAGCGTACGGCACAGCGTAC